TGGGCGCGTGTGTGTGCGTGCCCAAGATCCTGAGAGGAGAATGGAGGAGAAGGGATTGCGGCATGGCCATCCCTCCTGGGGGATGATTTCTCACTTTCTGTCTCTCTATCTCTCTCTGTCTTTCTGGCGAGTGCACACGCCCTATAGCAAACACCTCTCCAAAAAAAAAAATGGTAGAAAGCTTACCAAACATAATTTATTCAGGAAAAAATACACTTTAAGAACTAGGCTGTAAAAGGTGTACAGACCCAGCAGGTCGGGCTTCTAGGGCAAGCCCCAGCCGCTGTGCCAGGACGGGGCGGGGGCTAGGGGGGCTAGGCGCAGGGCCAGCAATGGAAGTGTGTATTCCAAAGCAAGTGCACACACACATCAAGAGCCTGTTATCTGCAACATCACCTCAGGCGCTGCCCCGGGTGTTATTCGGTGTGCAGTCGCTTGGCTGTGGGCTCCTCCTGCCCCCGCTTCAGCCACCGCTCCAGGAGCCCTGCACTGCCCCTCTTGGGGAGCGGGCTCTTCTGCAGGAGCTCGCTGGACCTGTGGGGCACAGCCAACTCATCCTTCTGGAGTGTTTTTGGGTCTTCCTTTTTGGGCGACTTCGTGGCTAGCCACTGTAACATCGTCTGGCTGCTGCCACTTGCCTTGAACTCCTGGGAGGAAGGAGGAGAAGCTCTGGGAAAAGGCCAGCCCCGAGGGAAGAGGGAGGGCGAGGACCAGGTGCTGACCGAGGAGTGTGACTCAGGTTAAGGCCGAGATGAGGGCAGAGGACAGCTCTGGGATTTCGAAGAAGCATGTGGGACCAGTCCGAGCCTCGACCTGGTCCAGGGCGCCCGGCTCTCCCTGCCACTCTGGAGCCTCAAATCTGGCTTAGCAGTGACCGTGAGGCCAACCCAGCCCTGACATGACTCGGGATGTTGAGACAGGACCAGCACCTGTCCCGGGAGGGCCCTGCTGAGGGCGCTCGCTCTCCCCGCCCTGCCGTGCACAAGGCGAGTCTGTAGTCCTTTAAATCACAACTGTGACTGCAGAAGGCCACGTCCCTGGGGCCTGAGCTCAGGAAGCACCGAACAGGGCAGCCCTACCTTGCTGACCACCAAGTTGACAGGAGCCAGACACTCAGGTGTGTTGTTCCGGACGCTGTTCACCACGGGGGAGACGGGGTGGAAGGTGATGTTCTCGGTGGGGCGGATGAGTGTCAGTGCTTCCTGAATCGGAACCTCTCCAAAGTCAAGCCACTTAGAAACGGCCTCATCCCCATCGAGTATGGCAGGCATCCTAGCAGAGAGGGCCCAGCAGGTCCAGAGGCAGGGAGGGCAGGGAGAGACCGGGTCAGTGACAGTTCGAATCCCCACAAGGAGAAGCCGGCCCTCCCTGTGCCTCACATGCCCGCTGCTGCCCCGTGCTCCTGAGCACACTGACAGAGCAGTGGGGTCGGCACTCGGAGGGCCACGTTTCACGGCAGTGACAGTGAGGAGCGCCAAACCTAGGTCACGCTCTGGCACTTGGGGACCTCTCAGCCACGCTCGGCTGAGAGCGAAGCGGGAAGCCGTCGGTAACCCTCTCCGGCCACTCCTATGACAAGCTCATAGTAAGAAAGGGCCATTCCCGTAACTGAGCAAACGGGAGCCGGGCCGCAGGGAGGCAGCGAGGGCTGTCCAGGATGACTCCTGCACCCAGTAGACTGCTGGAGACCCTGTGCAAGCTCAGGGCACCGCAGCGCACATGCACACTGGGGCACATGGGTACACGCCTGCATCAGCAGTCAAAGCCTGGAGTTGACACAGGCCAGACACGTGTGCAAAGTTGTCTCAGTCTGTCATTCCTGAGAGTATGCACGCCCATGAGACAGAGAGGAGGCCCTGCCGGTCTGGTCACGCGTGCTCCCTTGTCCTCAGTCCTCCAACTCTTCCAGGTCTCAGATGTCAGTGCACACATGCACCCTGCACACACGGGAGCCCTGTGCACACATGCCCTATGAACACGGGAGCCCTGGGCACACACACCCCCTGCGCACACACACTCTGCACACACACGTCCTATGAGCACGGGAGCCCTGCACACACACACGTCCTACGCACATGGGAGCCCTACACACATGGGAGCCCTGCACGCACAGGAGCCCTGCACACACATACCCTATGCACACACGTCCTATGCACATGGGAGCCCTGCACACACACACCCTGCGCACATGGGAGCCCTGCGTACACGGGAGCCCTGCGCACACACCCTGCACACACGCCCTATGCACACGGGAGCCCTGCACACACACACCCTGTGCACAAAGGAGCCTGGCGCACACAAACCCTGCACATATATGCCCTGCACGCACACGCCCTGTGCACACAGGAGCCCTGCACACACACACCCTGTGCACGCATGCTCTGCACACACACACTCTGCACACACACATGCCCTGCACACACACACTCTGCACACACACATGCCCTGCACACACATGCCCCGCACACACACACACCCTGCACACACATGCCCCGTGCACACACCCTGCACACACATACCCCGTGCATACACACCCTGCACACACATGCCCTGCACACACACACCCTGCACACACATGCCCCGTGCACACACGCCCTGCATACATGCACCCAAAATCCAGATGTACTAGGTCACTGGAAGCCATGACGTATTTTCTATGTTCTTTGTAAAAAACGCATCACGACTTTCCACAACCTGGTATTTTATGTGCACGGCGGTCTTACGTTGCATTCTACTTCAGTCGGCAGTGACTAGCAACGTTTTACCCTTTTTTCCTCTTTTAAAATTTTTTCTGTAAATTTATTTATTTACATTCATTCACTATACATCATCACAACAAACAAAATGAGATTTCCCACCAGAATACGCTGTACATTGGCTCGATCAAGCACGATTTGAACAGGGTACCCTTTTTTTCTTTTGAAGGATTTATTTCGGGGCCAGCAGGGGGCCTGGTGGTGAAGGGCACGGAACCCCACACGGCCGACCACAGCTCAAGTCCCAGGTCTGGCAGTTTGCTCTCGCACTTTCCCGCTCTTTCTCTTAAGCAAAAAGGAGAAGAGGAGGAGGAGAAATGGAGAAGGGACTGCAGTGTGACCTTCTCCCCCAGTGGTGCTTTCCCTCCCTCCCTCCCTCCCTCTGCAGTGGGCGTGCTCTCCAGCAAACCGTGGAGGGGGGGCCTACCTGTGGTGGATGTCCTCCCTCCCTCCCTCTCTGCAGTGGGCGTGCTCTCCAGCAAACCGTGGAGGGGGGACCTACCTGTGGTGGATGTCCTCCCTCCCTCCCTCCCTCTCTGCAGTGGGCGTGCTCTCCAGCAAACCGTGGAGGGGGCACCTACCTGTGGTGGATGTCTTCCAAGCCTTTGCAGGAGTCCACAGTGATGATGGTGTAGGAGTACAGGGGGTCTCCGCCTTCTGGGGGCGCCCAGCAGTCAAAGATCCCAGCCATTGTCAACAGCCTCCAGCTGTCCCAGGCCTTCTCCGGGTGCCCTGGACTGTCTGCAGCACTGCTGCCCCCTGACTGGAGACAGAAGAAACAGGCAGACAAGACGCTTCCAAGCCTTTGCAGGAGTCCACAGTGATGATGGTGTAGGAGTACAGGGGGTCTCCGCCTTCTGGGGGCGCCCAGCAGTCAAAGATCCCAGCCATTGTCAACAGCCTCCAGCTGTCCCAGGCCTTCTCCGGGTGCCCTGGACTGTCTGCAGCACTGCTGCCCCCTGACTGGAGACAGAAGAAACAGGCAGACAAGACGCATAGCTGTCACCTTCCACACCAGGGCCCTTCACACTGGAAACACAGCGGCCATCTGGAAGCAATCCAGCCCAGGCCTTATTAAGCCCTCGATCCACTGATGCCGAAAGAGGCCTGGCAGCAAATGCCCACTGCAGCTGCAGTTGCACGGCTCCTTCCAAATTCCGGAACTTGGCACCTTTGCTGGGCATCTGGGCTCCCTTAGTCTGACCCACCTCTCTAAGCATCCTTTTTTATAAAAAAAATTATTTAATTTTATTTATTATCACTATTATTACTATTTGTTTATATGACGGGGTAGGGTGAGAAAGCAAGCTGCCAAGTCCAGGACTCGAACCGCAGTCGGCCACATGGGAGTCCAGTGCCTCAATCACCACCCACTGCCAGCCCCTAAATATTCCTTATCTCGATCTCTGTCCTACCCATTACACCTGGCCACAATAAAAAATGAGAACACACCGGGAGGGGCTCAGGGAAGAACATGTGCCACAGAACACGTGACCCAGGCAGGGGCGTCAAGGATAGCTGCCTCTCGTGCTGTGAACGCAGCCGGGTCTTCATGAGCGAAGCTGGCTGTGAGTTCATGCCTCCATCCAAAATGCCATTCCCAGCGTCATCATGTCAGACCCTGCTTGCCACTCAAGGTTCAGTTCCAGGCCACGGATATGGGAAGCCAGAGAGAGCGGCACTCTCACCCTAACAGAAACGCTGGATACCCTACAAGTCACGGCTGTCTTCAACTCATCGTAGACTCAGTTACAGGGCAATAAAGTAGCCTGAGGTGTACGTGAAGACAGGGACCTCTGAGGAGGGACGGGACACGAACACTGGCTTGTCGTGGCGACAGGAAGAAGACAGGGCCTTCACACAATGGGGCTTAGATAAACGACATCGCGAAACTGAGAGCCTAAGTCCTGGGACCCACAGACGCCAAGAGCTGGCAGGCTCTTCTTGCCCAGGGACTGCAGCAGGTGCTCGTGGGAAGACTGGGAGTGGGGAGGAGCCTGCAGGACATCGGGCAAGGTGCATGAAGCCTCACCTGACCATTTCTCCTCTGAGCAGCCAAGGAAATGGCGATCACCCCTACTGCCTTTAGAACACAGGTACAGGCCCACTGGGGCTGGGCAGAGTGAGGAGGAAAGTGATCCTGAAGAAGAGGCAGGACCACCTGAAAGTCTGCGAGCCAGAGACACAGGTCTGACAGACTGAACCAAGACAGCAGAGAATACCTCCGCCCCTTCGGACCGGCGAGCACCCAGTGACCAGGGCCAGTGGCCCGCCCTGAGCCAGGCGAGAGCACGGGGAGATCTCTGCAAGGCACAGGCTGCCAGGGCACAGAGAGCAGGGTGGCTGGGGAGGCCTCTGGGAAACCCGCGTCCCCATGAGCGCTGGACAACGCTGGGAACACCAGGGAACCAGGAACCGGCAGCGGCTAGCCCAGACCAGCTCCACTCCCGACTAGACCAACCCGATCTCACACCCCGTGGATCTGACAACTGCCAGACACAGGGATCTTTGCCCCAGTCTTCCCTACATACCAAGCCTGGCGACAATAAAAATGACCAGGGGAAAGACCGAGAAAAAAATGTTCACAGACACAGAATGTGTCATCAAGGCAAAGAGGTCCGGGAGCAGGGCGTCACGGCAGAGTAAATGTCACACACACTGTGTCACCATGGGTCACGACTTTCCCTGTGTGTGTGTGTGTGTGTGTGTGTGTACTTTGAGAAAACGAAAAACTAGAACGAAAATCAAAAGTTCATAACCTAATGTGATGTTCTTCACTGAAGACAATGACTATGGCAATATCCTTAATTTGATTATCCCACCCTGCACGCATGCTTTAAAAACCAAGTTGTACAGGACCAGTGGATCACAATGTTATGTTGCAGGACTCCCACAGAGTTGACCACGGTTCAAGTCCCAGACCCAGTGGTTTAAAACTCACAGCAGGCACATATGCATATGCCCAAAATCCCAAGAGAGGAGGATGCAGGAGAAGGGACTGCAGCATGGCCACCCCCCCGAAGTGGTGGTGGGGGGATTTCTTGCTTTCTGTATCTCTGTCTCTCCAGCAAGTACATGTGCCCTATAGCAAAAATCTCTCTAAAAAAGAAAAGAAACATAGTTTGTGACCAGCAGATGGCTTAATGGTTACGTCACTGGACTCACATGGCCAACCACATTCTGAGTCCTGGACCTGGTGACCTGAAACTCACACCAGGCAAATGTGCGTGCGTGCCCAAAATACTGAGAGGAGAATGGAGGAGAAGGAACTGCAGTGTGGCCATCCCCTAGGGGGATGATTTCTTGCTTTCTGTCTCTGTCTCTGTCTCTCTGGTGAGCTTTCGCAATAGCAAAAATCTCTCTATTAAACAAATGAAAAACCCATATTGTGTGGGGCCAGCAGGTGGCACGGTGGCTAAGGTGCTGGACTCTCACATGGTTGACCATGGTTCAAATCTCAGAGGTCTGAAAAACACGCCGGGCGCATGTGCATGTGTGCCCAGAATCCCAAGAGGAGAATGGAGAAGGGATTACAGCACAGCCATCCTCCCTGGGGAGTGACTGCTCACTTTCCCTCTCCTCTCTCTCATGCAAGTGTCCTATGGCAAAAAATTCCAAAAAAACAAGAGCCCACACTACGAGGGAAGAGAGGTGCCATTCTCTGGATTGGCCTCTCCCTGGCACTCGAAGTGCGCACCGTGAGTGCGGGCGGTGACCCCTGCTCTGTCTTAATCTGCGGGAAGTAGATGAAGTATGGCTGTCGCTGGGTCGCTCCCTGCTGCCGCTGCCACTCGTAGAATCCATCTGCCAAAACAACACAGCGTCTGCCCTTTCCCAGAGGCACCTGAGGGAAAATGCAAGCAAGACGTGGTGTTAGTGGCGTTCTCTTGTTTCACAGGCTGGGCTGGAGTTAACATCTCAGGTCTACCAGCATGTGACCTTAGAGCGGTCACCCCCTCCTCTGTACTTCCCTGTCCTCATGTATAAGTCACCGACCACTCACACCGATGCTGAAAAGATTAAACCAGGCACCTAAAAGCAGCCTGTCCATTCTAACAGGTCCTGGGGAAGCTGGTCTCGGGGATAGGGCTCTCAGGAGGCACACTGTGTGGGGTCCCCCGTCACACTGGCTCGGGGCTGGCTCTGCAGACTCAGTGGGCACCTAGAAGGGACGCTGACCATGTCAGTGTGAGCCCGTCAGCTCCGTCCCACTCACTCAGACCATGGGCTCTGGGGCAAATGCACTACCATGTCGGAAGCCTGGTCACCTGGTACTCCTATGCTAGGCATGTGGAAAGGCTTCCCGGTGTTCTAGCCATCCTGGCTGAGGTCTCAGACGTGGGTGAAGACTCCTCCTCGGACCCCCATCCAGCTGTCATCCAGTTACAACTGCGGGGGGACCTCCCAGCGAAAACCCCCAAGCTGAGCCCAGCCAACCCGCAGAGGAGGAGACAGGAACCGCTGCTTGGTATGGTCTGTTTCGCAGTGACAGACATAACCACCCCCACACGGGCTCCTGGGAAGACTCCCTGGAACCTTATTTTAATTCTGAAGTGTACAAGACAATAATTTCCTTAGGAAAAAAAAAATTAACGTCGTGACCAGTGGATGACATAATGGTTACGTTGCTAGAGTCCCACATAGTCAACCGCAGTTCAAGTCCCGGACCCAGTGGCTTCAAATTCAAGTCGGGTGTGTGTGCGTATGTGCCCAAAATCCCAAGAGGAGAATGTAGAAGGGATTGCAGCATGGCCATCCCTGTGAGGGGTGACTTCTCACTTTCTGCCTCTCTGTCTCTCTAGCAAGCGCACAAACCCTAAGACAAAAATCTTTCTCTAAAAAGAAAAAGAACAGCATACGAGCCCTCCCTAACCAGCTACCTGCCTTGAATGACCGCTTCTCCATCATGGTGTCGCTACGGCAGTTGGCAGTGTTGAACTGCAGCTTGCAGGGGTCGCTCTCTTTGAACCAAGACGGGACCAAACCCCATCGCATGGGAGTAAGGATCCGTTCGGATGAGTCTGCGTTCTGCCACAGAAGAGAGGTTATGATGCAGTGAGATTATAATTAAATTTAGAAAACCAAACTTAACATACACATTATATGATTATTACTGGATCACAGGAAAAGTTGTGACGTATTTTCCTATGCAAAAATGTGTCATGACTTTTCCGACAACCCAACAGCATTGAAATACAAGTATGGGCTGTCCCATGGCCTGACAGTTGGGGAGCTGGACCCCCATACGGCCGACTAAATGGTTTGGGTCCCGGCTGCAGCACCTTGCGAAGCCCACTGGGCGCACGTGCGAGCCATGCCCTGTCCGGGGGAGCCTCTCCCTCTCTCTCTGTTGACCACACACATCCTCTGGCAAATTGAAAAAGGGATGAGAAAAAAAAAAGAAATACATGGCCAGTCAGGTGTGGAGGCTAAGGCAGCTGGACTCCCACATGGGCGACCACGGCTCAAGGTTGGGACACAGTGGCTTGAAAAACATGCTGGGGGTTGGGGGGCAGCAGGTATAAGACGCTAGACTCCTGCATGGCTGACTGCAGTTTGAGGCCTGGACCCAGCAGCCTGAAAATCATGCCAGGCATGCCTGTACATGCGTGCCCAAAATCCTGGGAGGAGAAGGGATTGTGGCATGGCCATCCCCCGTGGGGGGTGATTTCTCACTTTCTGTCTCTCTCTCTCTCTGTCTCTCCCAAGCGAGCGCATATGACAAAAAACTAAGAAACAAACAAAATAAAAGGATAAAAAGCCAGATATTTGTGTGTGCCCAAAAATCTCTCTCAAATAAAAAAAAATTGTTTTCAAGTAGATTCTTCCCCTTTAATTCTCAGTTTTTTTCTTTTTAGGAGAGATTTTTGCTATAGGACATAAGGTTTTTTTTTTTTTTTTGAGAGAGGTTTTTGCT